CAGTTTAATATCAATACCTAGGTAACACAAAAGTGAAGTTTTTAGGTCATACCACAGTGATTTCCAATGTCTTAAGCCAACTAACTGTGACCTTTAATAAGTTGGTAATTATCTCACTTAACTAATTTCAAAGGTATACAGACTTTCTACCATTCACTGACACACAACAGCACACATACAGTTCTAAACCCATGACTGACATTGTTTGAATGAAAACTCTCCTGAAAATTCATGAAGGTTCTTAGAAGCTTTAACAAGAAAACACTGGTTTGTGATATTAATTTGGAAATCAACTCAGTTTAACATATGCTATTCACTAGTGGTACAAATGTTTATGTTTTCTCTCCTATCTTTGTCTTCTAGCAGTCTTAATACAAATCACATTCCCCCAAGCATTGCATCTTTTAAACCATTACACAGAACACTCCACATATATTTTATGAAATAAGTCAAGCACTTTATTACTATAAAGCAATTCACCACACATAGCAAAACAAACCAAACTTATTGAAACTCTGAATGTGGTTATTCTAAATTATAGCTCTTTTGCAAAATATAATTTAATTTTGCAAAAATTGGCATTCATGCTGTTTACTCATACATAAATCACCATATTTCCTCTCCCGTAATGTGGATACTAACTTTGTCACTTGTGTTTTCTGCAAAGAGAAAAGCATTTTTAAAATTATTACTAACACAGCATCAATTTTTAACTCTTCCAAGGCCAGGTTCTTTGAAATACCACGTAAGAACTGTCAGAAGAAATTTCAGTTTATAAAGATATTGAAATTAATATAGAATAAAAGACTTACCTCTTGAAAGCAGTGGCACTTTATAATGCAAGGGCATATGGAAAGGGAAAAGGTAAATCACTTAAACTACTTGATGGAAAATAGATTCCCTTCCAGTTTGGAATAAAAAGTCCCATTCTGCTCTAAGGATAGTAGTAAAGGAAGCAAGCCAAGACAATAATTTCTATATGTAGGTGGAAGATTTAAAAAATTCTTCAACTGCCTTAATCACCATTTGTAAGAAGAAACAGAAATGCTTGCATAGTATTATTAATAGATATTCTAAAAATATCAACGTAAGAATACATTTCATAGTATTAAAGTAAAGAGCTATTTCTTAATAATTATTATTTCTTAATAGGCACTTGTTTGTCTCTTTTGTTTATTAACCCTATACAAATCTAAATAGGATGTCTACCAATCTGGCAAATTAACTATCCACTTTAAATGACTTGAAAACCAACAGTCCTGCGGTGTTTTGAAGGAAAAAACAACTTATGTATTTAACTTCATATCCTTCTGATATCTTAAATTTTTGTTTCACTGACATTTAATATTTTAAAAACAAAAAGCAGTTAATAAAAAGTAACAACTCTCAAGTTTAAAAGAGTTTTACTGAAGATCTTCCCAACATTACAAAAACTTGAGAATATAATAATCATACAATTAGTAAAAAGTGACACCTACTTGGCTCTGATTTCAGAAAAAGTTTGACACCTGATACAAAATATGCATTTGCCAATATTACCAAACACCTACTTTTCAAAATGACATATCACTGACTACTAAAGTGTGTGATTTATTTTTAATTAATCTAAATGTAGTAAAAGAAAGGGCGCTGTAAATTTGTCTGAGCATTTCACAGACACCACACTTCGTTTTCAGAGCAGTCAGGTCACTTTGTCCTGGACAACACTTGAAATCTATTTTTAAGTATTCCCAGTTTGCAAACGGAAAGCAGTTACTTGCTTCTTAATAATGTAAAAAATGTAATAATCCTTTTTCTCCTGAATCTTGCACACTTCTGCACACCAGGCATGTACTCAATATTCACTTGTCGACTGATAAAGAGGCAAGAATAAAGGCTCTACAACTATCCACTGCCTGCTATTTAAGTTTGAAAATAACATGCTTTAAATCATTTCAAGTTTCACCATCAAAGCTGTGCTTATAAAACACAAAAACTAAGCTTGGTATTTTCAGATGTTATAAATGCAGAACTTTTCTATAACTTCAATTTGCCTTTGTCTCTACAATTTCCCATTAAGAACATTTCCTTATAAAATGTCAACAGGGTTATGTTTGCAGATGATATGATACTATACATAGAAAACCCTGAAGACTCCACGAGAAATCTACTGGAACTAATAGAAAGATTCAGCAGAGTAGCAGG